GTTAAACACGGGGCGTTATTTTCAGTCGCATCCATGTTCTTCGCATTGTGGTATGTTCTTTTCAACATAAATGCGTTATCATCCAACAGGGAACGATGAATGTGAAAGCTTTTCACTCCGACCGCCAGATGATCCCAATTCATGTCGTATAGGCCATTAAAAAAATCCCAATATTCTGTCAATGAACAATGAACAATGAATTTATATGGGTTAAGAAGCGTTGCTTCACAATCTTGTTGGATAGTTAGTGGGGATATCAACATAACAATAGTGATAATAAGGATAGTAAAATAGTTAATATTTTAAATATGAAAATAAGGACTTATCGTTTGCTTCACTGTAGTCCTGCGATCCTCTTAGATTCACAGCATCCACAGTTAACAATAAATAATTCCATGGTAAACTCCAGGTGTAGGAGGAAGACGTAGTGTTAAGTGACAAAGTGTAAGTGGATGAGTGCTTCGTCCAACCGTCTTGTAAATGTTGCTAATGTCGGTGCAGAGATGACCGATTCTGGGAGAGCATTCCACGGGTGACAAACAAAGGAAACCACTGACTCCTTCACACTCTGAATGCGGACATTGAAAATAAGCCTCTGCTCAATCAGTTTGTCGCGATTGGACCTCCATTGTAACCATTTCCTCAAATTTCTGAATGCGTGATGAATGCAGAATCACTAGGCTGCGATTTAGTTCGTATACTTGTGAGTCAACTGTCAGCAAAAGGATCACTTTGACCGGGAAAACCAGTTCAGACGCTCTATGTAATCGTTCCACGAACCAAAATCCTCAATGTTTTCTTCCACTTTTCCGACGGAAGCAATGGGTGCTTTGAGTAATCCGTCGCCAGCATTGTAAGTACAAAAGCGACGCGTACATGACACGGCTGTGATGTCTACTCCTGACCAAGTCACAGTTTCACGTGATTAGGCGTAAGTCTACTCACACAAGTGTCACATACATTGCGAAACAGGCAGTATCCCGTGGTAAACAATCCAAACATTTGCATATGTAATTTTTAGACTTAGATAATAATTCCCAGAGATGGACGACCAAATCCCAGCAATGCTACTTACCAACTGATCTAAGGTGCGAATGTTAAAGAAGTCAACAAGAGGTGATTTTAAATGTTTTGGAAAAGTACCGAATACTTTGCTAGTGTCAGTTACGAAAATCGGTTGCCTCTAACTCGCAACCTTAGGAATAACATTAATGAAACAGAAACAGCAAAAGATAAAAAAGTCTTTCAGTGAGACCATGTACCTAGGATTACTCCTAGGTTGCACATTCTAAGAGAGTGAGGTTCTGACCTTCTACTCACCAGCCGAACACACAAAGCAGTGCAACGAATAGGGCTTACTCTCAGGACTCCACGAAAAGCCTTCGAGTCAACAGGTCTTTCCAAACGGTAGTGGGGAGTAAGTCTAGCACGGGATTGTGAATGTACCATCCCAGTAGAGATTGAAAGATATTTACCAACTGCAAACTTGGGAGAAGTAGAACAAGTCATGCATATTACGACCGTGGTAGACTACGCACTTGCAACCACGGTCATTGGCATCTCGTTATTAGTGGGTTCGTATCATTTTTCTTGTGATCATTTTGGATTGTGGCGGGCATCGTTAAGCTATAAAAGAATGGCGGTGCTCACCCAGCATCAAAGACAACCCAAGGTTCTCATGATATGCGCCAGTAGATCTCTAATTCCAACACGTGCACTGTTGCCTCACGTGTCGCAGTTAATGGGATATATTCTCTCACTGTGTTCAAATAATGAGGACGCTGACCTGCTTTGGCTTATCTCGAACCACTGACTGCCTGATTTGAGTAACTCCTGAGGAGTGCTACGCTGGGAAGTCCTACTCGAGAATTAAGAATGAATTACAAAGTTAACGTGGCATCACGCAGCGTTAACCTTCAGTGTCTTTAAGAATATATCTGTACGCAAGAACCGAGCATACAAAACAGTAGTCCACGTCAAATTAAAGGAGTTATTATGGTGTCTAACCAATGCTACTATCTCAACTTTCTACACAATGACGTCCACTTAACGCGAGATAAAGCAATGAAGCAGTCTTATGAAGGAATTTTTTCAAGATCAAAAAGGTCTGTGAGTGTGGAATTATGTTTTAACCATCCGGGTAAACTTACGCCATATATTAACTTTGAAACAAGCAAATATAGACTATGAAGTAAAAGATAAATGTTAAGAATGAGGACGAACTCACGCGATTCGAAGCATTTGTTCAACGTGTAGTCACAAAGCAAGTTGACGGACGACTAATCTCAATGCGTCAGCAGATTGGCACGACTAAGGCGAACACCCTGTTCCCAACTGACCCGGAAAGATACGTCCACAATTTTGCCTCTTTACATCTGGAGAAAACATAACTTGAGGCACTTTCGCTCGGTCCGAAATTCTGTTGCATTCGTAATAATACCAGTCAGCTAGAACGAAGTTCAGTTTAAAAATGTACCTTCTCAAGCAGCTATGCTTACAACGTCATCAGCATTAGCTGCTGAGCATTTTAAATCCACCATGGTCAATACATGCTATCAGTACCTGAAGCACAAACTATGGGCAGTCGGTAATTTATTGACGAACGCGCGCATAGGTGCCCATAAAGCGCTTGCAAGCGGAATGACAGTGTGCAAGCTTTCTAGGCCGGATAAGGAGCAGAGATTAGTCCCCCCTTATTGGATAAAATCTGGACTATATCGCTAAGATGAATGCCATCCTCAACGATCATTTCAAATACCGGATGATGGAGACAGAGAAAAAACAAAACGGGCCTCGATTAGAAAAGACAAGTCACTAAAGCTACTCTACTCTGCCGTGAAGCAAGATGGTATGCGATTGACATCTGTGGTTTTCGAGTACACGCGTCCCTCTGGGACAGTGAATCCACGTCTTTATGGCTTACCGAAATTGCATAAAGAAGGACTTCCATTGAGGCCAATATTAGACATGTGTGATTTGCCATATCACTCAACAGCGAAATGGCTTGCTAAGCTTTTAGAACCGATCATAAAAGCCCTAGCCAAACACAGCCTCAGAGATGCATTCAACTTCGTAGACTCCATAAGCCATATGCAGTTAACCGGAAGGAAAATGTTTTCTCTAGATGTAGTGTCGCTTTCCACTAATGTTCCGTTGGAGGAGACAATAGACTACCTTTGCGACGCTGTTCGATTGCACCATGTGGATGTCGGCCTCTCGAACGAGCGACTTGAAACAGTTGATTCTGATGTGTACCAGGAACGTACAATTCCTGTTCGAAGGGAAGATCTACAGACAGAAGGACGGAGTCGTAATGGACTCTCCGTTAGGACCATTGGTAGCAGACATATTTATGAGTAAAGTAGAGAACAACTATCTAAACGGAGTTATCGACAAAGTAGTCTACTACGGACGGTATGTGGACGATATATTCTGCATCTCAGATAGTCATTCATGCACGGATGTATTAGTGAGACGATTTAACTCAGCCCACGCAAACATAAAATTCACCCTTGAATCTGAGTGCAACAACTCAATGTCGTACTTAGATGTTCAGATTAGCCGAAGATCTGACGGGTCGGTCCAGCGCAGTGTCCATAGAAAGACAACGTGGAAAGGGCAATATACTCACGTTGTCAGCTGCGTTCCGCTTAGCCAGAAACGGAAACTTGTTCGGTGACTAACCGAGCGAGCAAGAAGGATATGTAGTGAGGACATGCTTTCGGACGAGCTAAACTTTGTACGAAGCCTATTCGATAGAAATGGCTATCCTGAGAGGTTCGTTCGGCGAAACATGGAGGTACGAGAAGCGAAGGCAAAAGTGGATTCAGTAGGAAAGAACCGATCTACTTATCCTTACCGTTCAAGGGGGACGTGATAGCTGAATCAAAGTCTAGAAGGCTTTCTGCCGCAATCGCCCAAACGTACTATACAGCAAGCCTACGGCTAAGCTTCTACTCAGTGCCGACCCTGAATCAACAACTTAAGGACAGAATTCCAAGGTCTAGTACTTCATTCTGTGTATACTCTTTCTCTTGCTCGTGTCGATCGTGATATATCGGAAGAAGTACCAGAAGACTGTCCGAAGAGAAGAGCAGGGGAACAACGGTCCAGCATGGCTGAATAGGCCGCCGTCCAGTCGCCCTGTGACTAGATCAGTGGCAACGCACTGTCTATACACCTGATCAACTCAAACCATCAAGTCAGAGAGCAAGAGGCGTTCCAGCCATCTACCGCTACCCAAATGTTACACGAGAGGGGTTAGATATCGTCTACTGGCAGCAGCCGAGGCGATAGCCATCAGGCTTCATGACCCTGACCTACGTGCACACAAGAAATTTGTCCAGGCACTAACTCTACCCTGGTCCCCTGTAACACGGACAAATGGTGTGGACAACGCCACACACACACACACACACACACACACACACAAACTGATGATCGCCGTGTGACCAATCGTCTAGCTTGGTCACTCAGACCAGCTGGGTTTTTGAACATGTACTCTTAACTGATGTTTAAGTTCGTGTCATTAATTGGTGGTGTATTAGCCTGATGAGGAACCACTGAAAACGAGCTTGTTCGCTAACATTTGTTCAAATGTTAAGTACCATACTAACTCCTGATTATGGCTTACCTTCCTTCTATTAATCCCAGACACAGCATACACTGAGCGCTATCTCGGTCGGATTACTGATCATCCGGATGCATATATGGTAAGTTACAAAAGGTCGTCATAATCCTTGAACAAACTTGACGGAATTTGCCATGCTATTGGCACCCCTAACTTGAGAGCGCTTTTAGAGTAATTTTTACTACTTTTAACTACTGAGTAGCGACTAAAAACGGAACACCGCAGGCGAACTTTTGGCAAGGTAACATCACAACATCATAACAACAACACATGGTATGTGAGCCCACGAGCAGTAGAACCATCCTCTTGGCCACGGCAAAAAACATCTATCTGCATGACTGTAACCAGTTGCGTGCCTAGCAGTGCGCTGTAAGCTGCGCTACACTGCCATTCTTCATAGTGCGCTAACTCACCATGGAGCACTGGCTCCTTGTGTGTTCGTATAGGTTTGGAAGCAGGTTCAAGCATCTAACTGGCTAAAAGAACGCGATTCATTCGTTATTTTTAATATGAGCAAAAACACAATCGCTTCTTTCCGTCTGTCATGGCTTTTTATTAGACCTAACTGTAACCGACAGCTTCCATTTATATCAAAGGATATTATTCGCAAGTAAACCATCGTATAATGCGGCAGAGAGTTGGACTTCATGATTTGCTGGCATACATTTGAAGTTTACCGTACCACCGCTCTTAGTAAGCTCATATAAAAAGGAAGATAGTGCATTCTCACCCTACCTAATTTATTAGCAAATTTGAGTATTAGAATTCAGTATAATTTTCACGTATGCCTACAGCAGCCAATAAACATGTAATTCCAGATGTTTCGAATCAATGTTGACTGGTAGAAATGAGCTTAATTCGCTTGTCGGACGTAATGGCCTATCACTTCAATGGATTTTGATCAACCTCACTCAGCTTACGACTACCCAATTAAAGCTGTTTTATTGTTCAGCCGAGTGGAATTCGGTATGGCTACGGTCTCACTATGGTGATTCAACTTCAAACGGTGGCGCTTCTTGCCGATATCGTAGTGCAGGTAACTATAAAACGAACCTTATGGTTCAGAATAATAAAAAATATATGAAATTGGTTAGCGGTATTACATATATCGTCTGTAGAATCCGCTTCTGTACAAGTAGAATGTGGGTATTTATTTATTTATCTGACACCAAAAACTGCTTGCTGGCTTTCTGTTTGGCACGGAAAATAAAAATGAAATCTGATCCGAATTCAGGCACAAGATGAATGATTCGTTTGACTAATAAACGTTAAATGTTATCTGCAACGGGAAACGCCACCATGCGGAAGATCTTTTGCCAACTTGTGTCTTCGCTCAGCTGTCTCCTGTCTGAGCACACTGACTGCTGCGATCGAGCATAGAAATCGCAGTCTAAAGCTAGGTTATTTTCGCAAGCAACTTGACAACAGTCATTAGGCGCTGTGAGAACCAACTCTGAAGATCCAGATGGTACTGAAGTATGTAAGTCTGGCAGCACATTTTACATTCAAGATTCAAATTCCACATCGATTTCCTTCCTTTAAAGAGGGGAAAAGAGCACGAAGCTTTCACTTGCTTCTAGAGTTGTGGAAACCAACAGTGAACATGTATCTGCCTCAAACAACTATCAAGTAGCCAAATATATAGAGGCCCATTTGCAAGTGAATCGCCTGTTACATCGCGATTGCTTGCAACGATTCCTCCACAAAATGATTACTTCGAAATAATCCAACAATAGTCTTATGATGCCGACAATGTCTAAATGAACAAGGTTGTTTCATGGAAATTTAACTTCTTGTATAAAAGGACCCGTTCAATGCAGCATGCTTCTGAATGTTCCTAGACATAAACAGTTAAGTTTCAGCTAGTTTAAACAAAAACCGTCATGCATTCCATGCTTCAATAGATACCAACTTTGTGTTTTCGGGAGTCATCAACACAAAGGAAAATCGGTTAAGGTTAGCAAGCATGCCGTGTAAATTAGTACAACAGGGAACTCCAAAGCTATTTCTTAAGCGTTTGACGGCCCGCTGAGGAAAGTGGTGTCACTATAGCCCAATTCTGAGCTTGGTGTATTTGAAACACACACAGTCATGTAGATGACGATCACCTCAAGAAGCCTGTTCTCGGTCACCGAGGTTACAATGATCTCTAACATGTTTACTCAGTGCTACCCACTGTCACGTAAGAGGAGGGATAGGGCTTCTCGCCCATCATTAGTAAGAGGAGTTCTCACCACTTTATCTTCGTGGCTAACAACCTCCACGTGGTGCCAGCTGGGTGGTTCAGGTTAATCCCCTTCCAGCGAATAGTTCGGCGGCAGTGTTCCAGGACGTGGTGGGTTTTCGCCTGGTAAACCTTCTCCCTATAAAAAGCCACATATGTCCGTTTAACAACACTGTGAAGTGGCTGATGTGATTTGCCACTAAATAAACTCTCTGCCTCTTCCCAATCCGGAGGATACTTCACAGACGTCATCCAATTTGACGAGTTCCACTGATCCTTTCATACGATGTCGAACACAACAAACAGACCCAGGAATTCAGTCACCCTTCACTCACCATGCCCACCGACACAGAGATTTACATATATACATGCACACAAATCCAGTATGTAACTGGGTAACATGCTATATTATTATGCAATTACCAAACGTACCTGTTTGTATTAGCATGATCATGCTTTCGCAAACGTGCCCGCACTGCTAGGAATAACACATTTATTTATTTATTTAACTGTTTGACTGACTGCTGCCTTAATAAACCACACTGATAGTTGATGCAAACCTGCTACTAATGATTTAACCTCGCGGTGGCTGTTTGAAATTCTTCAAGCCGCAAATGCGGCCTCAAAACAATGTTGTACCCGAGCTAACGGACACCAGGAAAAAGTGCAACTGCAAGATAACCACGTTGAGAGATTGTCACGTTAACTTACGTGGGCTACGGCGCAAGCGTTTGTCTAGGTACCGGATTGGAACTCAGCGGTTAGAAGTTAATACGCATCACTGTTAACTGACAAATGGTTGTAATTATCCCCCAACGCTGTTTTGCATGCGAGATGTCAGTCTGATGCAGTCATGATGCAGCGAAGATACATAAACGAGAGGTATTGCTACGTCTGTCCTCCTACTGGTAATCGTCAAACAAATATCGATCGTCCGTACGTTATTAAAAGGTTGGAGCCGGTTTTATTGATATCTTTCCAGCGTGTTTCCTCTTTCTTTCATTTAGTCTTGTCCAGTAAACTTGTTCAATTAACAACAGTTATAACACGTCTGTTACGAATTTGCTTGTTTAGGTACCTTTCCTATTGAAGTAACATGCAACATACTTTTTACATGAGACATTTCCAATGTGTCTTGCAAACTCGATTGAAGTTTGTTCTCGTGTGGATTAAAGGTGCAAATAAGTCACCACCCAGGGCAATTATTCGAATTTCTGGCGACGCTCTGAATCCAAAAGATTCCTTGTGTATGGGGTTTGCAATGCATTGAGGTGTTCTCATTTGGCTACTTCCGTCAGAGAATGGCATTTAGCTAAAGACCAATTAGGTGTCGGGTATAATCAATTTTTAATTCTTCCATTCTATTCGCATGCTTTCCACAACGAACGGGACACAATCATCCCTTGTGTTAACGCTAACCCACACCACGACTTCTGGTTGCTTATTCTATCCCACACTTGATTATTTGCGAATCACAACAGGACGAGAAAGTAGACAGATTTCGTTCAAACGTATTAAAATGGTGTTTGCTTCATTTTTGCATGGGACTACTTCAAACTTTTGTTGGAATATCTCATCTTACCCATAAAATCTCACCGTCAGAAAGATGGAGTAGGAATTCTCACGTTTAGTGTTGCTTAAGTTACTAGGTAAAGTACTGTTTGGGTTACTTTTTAATGTTCCTCCTTGATACTAAACGTCTACATGCATCAGTAAGCATATTATGTAAAGTTAATCTGTACTCATTCGGGAGCGCAGCTTTATGTTGTATCGAGAAATAAAATATCCCTATTTTTATAACGTATATCTTAAGCACATAAAACCGATTCCTTTTTATCCAAATATGGGTTGATACTTGCCGTCAACTTAAGGCTGCATCATTATTTCATTCGTGATAGCAAACGTCCATCGCCAAACGTGCTCGTAACATGCGGTCGAAGAGCCTTTTGATCGCACATGGTTCTGCCGATGGTAAGTAAACTGGTACTTACTGCTTCCTCACAAATAATATTATACTGTTTTTTAAATCTCTTGAGGATCACACGATTGTGTTGTTCTTGCCGTATCAACGACCGGAAGTTTAAAACCAAGTATCTTGTGACAAATATTTTAGCTAATTTCGTAGAGAATTAATAATACTAATAATAACATCACTGTAATAGTGTTTCAGTTGTACGCCGTAACTGCGCTTTGCTGCCACACCAGTGCCACGAGTCGCAGGATGAGTATACCGCGAGAACGCCAGCTCCTATGCGGATTCGACCCAGTGAGCTAATGGTTGCAAACCAGGCGTGCAAACCTCTCGGCCATCGGCAAACTTCGTAGGGTATTAAGTAGGGATGGAGAGCGGCGTGGTTTATTGCTGAGATTGAATGACTCGTTGCGCCCTCTTGTCTGAAACATGCTAAGCAGTCGAAATACTCTTACCATTAAAATCAAGTGGTTCTGAAATTATGTTGAATTGTGATTTATAAATCAGTTGTGCAAAACAATGCGCCTCCTTGAGACACACTCGCCTAAAATAATGTTCATCATTTTCTTGGCTTCACTTATAGTATGCAGTAGTAATATGAGTTTCACGACGCCACCTGTTCCTTTACAAGAACCGAAAAAAGAAAGAAAATACCGAACCGACAATTCATTAAGTACAACAGGGCAAAAGCTTAGCGATTTCCGTAGATAAAAAGTGTAAGCAAATTTTAAGTGTATCAAGAAAGGTAACGCGTATCGGTGGATTCACCAAATGTTTCAAATGTGCACACAGTCTGGTTAGGTTATGCCTCCTCAGAACCATTGGGGTTAAATCAAGTCATACATGTGGTGCAAAGTAGTAGTATGGCGAATGTAACATGAAATTAACTTAACGGCAGAGATGATAGCATGTGCAAGTAAGTTCCACAGCTGGGATACACGGCGAATGTGTAACAAGTTCCGTTGACATACAAAACGGCTGTACTGTGGGACAACATTCACGTAATGTCCTGCCAATGAGTTGACGTGCCTGAGCGTTTGCAAGAGAACAGAATATAAAAGGCGGAAAAAAATCGTATATCGACAGTCTCCATAATCTTTAAATTATTTTGGTAAAAGAGAGCAAAACCATACCAATTAAATCGCTCGCAAATGTGCAGCCCCAAGGTGAGCAATAGTACGTGTATTTTCAAACAATTCACGCGAAAATAGCGCATCCGACGTGTATTCTCACGAAAAAGATGAGAATTTGAGAAGAGTAAAATGGATCAAACGGCAAACATAAAGGATCCATTGAGTATCTAGGATTATGTCCATCATGATCAAAATAAATATTTCAATTTCAAAAACCCAAGAACATTTCCATTAAAAATATGCTGAGAAACGTAAAGCTCAAAAACCATTTCTCGGCCAAGTTGTCCTCTTGGGCAACAGAATCAACCTAAACGGCCAAAGAGTTGCGCTGAAGGGAAGCAAATTGCGTTGTTACTCTAAGACTTTGAGAGTTGGGTGTGACGCTCACTTGCGCAGGTGTGTAGGTGGGGGTGTATAGCCAGGCGCCTTCAGCCAATAGGGCCTCAGACGCACTAAGTCATAGGGGTGTAGGTGGGACGCTTCAGCTCCTACCTGCTTAACTGTCGGTCGCCGATGCACCATGCAAGTCTGTATTTCTCTCTACAAGGAAGCGATTCCAACCAATTAGAACGAGAGAAGGGAATTGAACGACAATTAAGTTGGTATAACGAGCCACAACCAAATAAGTTTGCTGTGTGCTTTTCAACGTGCAGTTTACCTAACCGTAATGGTTTGTTTGCATGTTCGGCACTTGATGAAGATGAAGAATCTCATACTGAAAGCGTAAGAGGAAGGAGACGATTGGAAGCAAGTCGCTTGCACATGAAAGCTGAAAGTGAAAACTAGCCGCAACTGGATACGGGCGTATGAATCGAAGGAACCGGAGGGGCAGCACGGGGGAGTCCGTCGCAGAGCACTGGGAGAAAGCCACGTCGACTCTCTAATAGAGTGGGTTCCTGCGGTTTCAGGTGGAGGTCTTAATTTCGGTAAATACCAGCACCGTCTCACGATACCTGGATAGTAGACTGATAATAATGGAGAAACTACACAACATTCCGGAGTCCATGAACACGCTAGAGAACAGATCATTCCTTAAGCACCTCATGGAAGGCAGGCAACCGGTGTGGATTAATGAGATCAACTTCAACTTATTTTGCTACCACATTCGTGGCCACTCACCACCCGGAAGTCGAGCGCAGTGTATGGTCGTGGTGAACAGCCGGGGACCGAATGTTCATGTTGTCGGCGCCATGACAAACAACAGCTTGATAGCGCATTCGGTTCTGAGAGGAAATTACAACAAGTATAGGTGCGCCCAGTGGCTGTGACAAGTGCTAAATACCAACGGAACATGGTTTGTGCAAAGGGATATTTTGATTTGCGACAGCGCGCCCTGTCACACTCACCTGGAGCACGTTTTCCTGGAGGAACCGTACCGCTCTAGGAGGCTTTTACGCCTTTCACCATACTCCCTAGCACTCAATCCCATGGAGGGAATCTGGAGCACAATAAATGCTCAAGGAAAACAGGCAATGAGCGGACGGTATTCCCAGATGCTCATGGGGGATCCTGGAGGCGTTCCGAATAAAAACGAGTGGCGGGTTCGCTTTTTGGAGTACTCGGTGTGGGAAGGATGGGCGTTAGTGACACAGCAGAACTGTGAACAAATGGTTCGGCATGCCAGTAACAATTATGGATGTGTTGTGCATTTAGCTGATCAGTAAATCGTTCAAATGGCAGTAAACTACTTGTTTAAAACGAGTGTAGTCCTCACTTTATTATGATGACCGATCGGAGTGCACTTTGTACGCTGCTAGAAATAGCCAGTTCTTTATTCGGGCGAACGTCGTGGATTTCCAGTAAGTTGTTGCGTGTGGTCGCGTCGTATAGCCGTTTTAGTTGCTGCGTTGTAGAGCACTCACATGAGAATTTGCCAAATCCATGTCACCCTAACACGGTTGTGTGGCAAGCAATCATGCTGTGCCACCTGTCGTTGTTTTGTTTTCGGAGAGCCAGTGGATAAGGACTTCGATAATGGCATACTTAAGAAGACAATTGAACTCTATAGACTTGGCGGACATGGGCGGTGTATTTGTCCGTTTGCCGGATTGCTCAACCCGTTAGACCAACGCAGGCGGCTGGACGCTGCTTGCTGCTCGTGCAACGATGATCAATACAGAAACGCAGAGCATGTAAGGAAAGTACAATTAAACTTTATCACACTGTTTATGGAAATATTTCCAGATGGATATTTGTCAGTTGCGGTCTGTATTCGAACACACCAAAGGGTTGCGGTGAGAAGGTACTTTGAAGTCGCAAATAAAATGCACTCGCCTAGGCGAATCACATTTACTCGTCAGGTTGTAACGTCTGCACAGGGATGAGTGGCTCCGCATGATGCAAACCGGTCTGTGCCTTCATATGCTATTTGCAAGTACCGTTTGCTATTTCGCTTCATCCCAATTCTACGTGTGTAAATAATGCGGTCATAGCCGGACATCTGTTACAATCATATCTCGTGCGTCTTATCGTCATCCATCTACACAGCTCAGGCTCCGTCCTCCATCGCCAACTGTGACTAAATTGTGTAGCTAACTCCGAGATATAAATCAGGCGCACTGTCCACTCATCTCCGACTCTTATTAGGTGCTTGATATGAAACTGTCCAGCCGCCTACCAGGTACTTCTTTCACCTTTCAACCCCTCGGTCTTTGACGACCCAATATATGCCCGGATACGGAAGTCCTGGGCACTCTTTACATGACGCATATTACACTAGGCAAGCGATTCATCGAAACCTAAGTCTAATTTCGTTGGCGCGACATTGGGCAGTTAATTTACGGCTTTACTTACAAACTGCTAAAATTGCGTATGTTTTACTGGCACGCATGCCACCAGGCACGTTCATCAGGAACCTCATGTACATCGTCGTTAACTCGATGATGCAGCTCCAGTGTAAACCGTTTGGTTTTCAGTGCACTCGGTTTGAGTTTAGATGAGCGAATATCGATGATTTAGTTACGGTATAATTCCTGGACTCACAACACAGGATTTACATTCTGTAGACGAAGTGATGACTGATCCGCTTTGAATACATTTAGTTGTTTCCTTTGCAGAGGCGCAGTATTGGGGCGGGGATGCAGTCCGCCCCGGGCGGCATGTGACACGGGGCTGCATTTTTATGGCCGTTGTACATCGGATACTAAATATAACGGACAAATTGTCCGAATAAGCTGTGGGTTGAATAGTTTAATACGCTGTATGATCAACAACACATTTGCGTCATGCGTCGTACCTGTGGAAATGTTCATCCCTGTGATCCTCCTTTTGTCCCATAGTAGCACTTTCACCACATATATGATCCCTCTTGTTCTGGGCTGGGTTTCTCGATACCTCGAAAAATAAACCTTATTAATATTAGTAGTATTAATATCGTTATTATTCACCTCACGGTCTTAAGCGCATATTAGTTTTCATCGAAATTTATTGTGCACGTTACCGATCTTTTGGTCTACACGCGCCTTTTCTGCCCGCAGTGATAGTGATCTATTTACCACGCCCACGAACGACAATGTAGTTTCCGCACCACTGATCATATGGAGTGTTGTATGTAAACACAGATGAACAGCTATGCGACTGGGACCCATTGCGAATGGTGTCAAGCTGCAGCGAATCCCTGTTAGAGTGTAAGACTTCGTTTGGATGCGCCCCACAGATATCAGTGGATCCGTCTGGGATATTGAAGGTGATCCGATTTTTGCGATCTGTGTACACTATGGAACATTTCAGCGACTATACTATTGCCTTAACGATATGTTATATTTACGGCGGATAGCGATCAGGAAACGCCTTTATCTTAGATCGTGTCAGCTGCTGGAAAAGGAGACATGTTGCTTTAAGCATGCTCAGCTCAGTCTGTACCTCCG